AAGGAGATTGTATGCAAAAATGGCCCTCAATTTATCGGGGCTCAAGTCACTGAGTTTTTTGAGAGTTGGCAAATTAAAAGAATCACATCTACACCTGTAACGACCCGGCCGGTCGTTTTTGGAATTTACGCCCCGATCCCCCATTAACTGCTTTCTCTAAGTTCATTTCTGCTATTTTGGTTTGCCGGGACGTTCGGTATTAGGATTCGGAGTGTTTTGGGACACTTAGTCCCTAAATGAGAGTTTAAGAGTTGAAAAATGGTCCGTATTCAGAACAGTGTGAAGACGACCTCAAAATGGAAATCCGATGGTTCCTTTAGCTCCGTTAGGTGATCTCGGGGTTGGGAGCATGTTCGGAATGTTATTTGGAGGTCCGTAGCTCATTTAGGCTTGAAATGCCGAAGTTTGGATTTTTGAAGTTTCCAGTCCGATAGTGAGTTTTTGATTCGAGGGTTGGATTTGAATTCCGGAAGTTGCTGTAGCTCCGTCATGTCATTTGGGATGTTTGTGTAAAATTTCAGGTCGTTCGGACGAGGTTTGGTTAGGTTTTTGATCGAAAGCGTATTTGGTTAGAATTTGAAGTTCTTAGGCTTGAATCCTTGATTTAATCGGGTTTCCGGTGTTGTTTGGGGTGTTTTGAGGATTGGTGCAAGTTCGAATAAGGTATTAGGTGGTATTGGTGCTTTTGGTTGAGGCCTCGGGGGCCTCGGGATAATTTCGGGTGGTTAACGGGGGAATTTTCTAAGTTGTTGCAGCTGGTATGTTTTCCCTTCTGGTATTTTCACTTCTGTGGTTTGGGAACAGCAGAAGCGGCTTCCTCATCGCAGAAGCGATTTTTGGCTTCCCCTCGGAGACCGCAGAAGCGGTCATCTTTCTGCAAAAGCGGAACCGCTGGAGCGGTCATGTGTCCGCAAAAGCGGAATTTCCCCCTTTAATGAGAAACCGCAGAAGCGGTTATTTTGCCGCTTAAGCGGGACCGCAGAAGCGGAAATGTCTGGGCAGAAATAGGAAATTTCGAGGGTTTAATTTCATAAGTTTGAAAATCAATTTTGAGCTCGGGCAAGGGCGATTCTGAGAGGATTTTCGAGAGGAGATTATTGGGTAACATTTCTATGATCCTTTCTAATTATATTCTATCATTTAGTAGTTAAATCCACCTTTTAAATTCGAATTAAGGATCAAAAATGGAAGAATTTGGGTGAAAGTTCATTGACTAAACTATTGGGTTTTGAGGGAGCATTCGACCTCCGATTTCTGAGATTTTTATATGGTTAGACTCGTGAGAGTACGAGGTTTCTGAAAATGTGAAAATTATTCGGTTCCGAGACGTTGGCCTAAGGGGCGTTTTGGTCATTTCACCTATTTTCGCGTCTTAGCTTTAATTTCAATAGTGGAATTAGTTGTTTGCAATATTATTTACGATTTGTAATTTAATTGAATAGATTTGGGCCATTTGGAGTCGGATACTCGTGGCAAGGGCATAGTTCCCTAGTTGACTTCGCACCGGTTCGAGGTAAGTGGCTTGCCTAACCTTGTGTGGGGGACTTTGTCCCTTAGGATGTGATAATTGGTAATTGAATGCCTTGTACGTGAGGTGACGAGCGCGTACTTGAGCAAATTGTTGAAACTCGGATTTTTACTTAAATACTTGATTTGGATTCTCTTTCATATTTGCCTTACTTTACTTGCTTTGATAGCCTGTGCTAGCGTAGAAGAGCATGTTTAATTGATACAAGCTGCCTATTTGTTTAAATTGTCTTAATTGTGATTACGTGGAGCATGTTAGGCCCGTATTATTTGATGCGTTGTATTGTTGTGCTTAAATTTCTGAATAATTCGTTGATGTTGGTTGCGCATTTATATTGGGACTACGGATGCGGATTCCGGGAGTTCCCCCTTGATTGTTTACTTTGGGACTACGGGTTTGATTCCCGGGAGATCCCCCTGTACTTTTATTTTGGGACTACGGGATAGTATCCCGGGAGATTCCCCTACACTTTTATTTTGGGACTACGGGACGGTATCCCGGGAGATCCCCCAGCACACTGATGATTGGATTACGGGACGGTATCCCGGAAGATCTTTGATATCGATATGAGATTTGGACTACGGGACGGTATCCCGGAAGTTCCATTGGACAGTTGAAAAAGGGCTACAGGACGGTATCCTGGGAGACCCCCTTCGGTATTCTTGTAATTTTGCTGTATTTACTCTGTGTTTCTGTTTTATCTTGCAGTTCTATATTTCATTGATCTGTCTTATCACATCGCTGTGTTCATTAGTTTTCTTCAGACTTCGATACTGTTAATATCTTGCTATTTTATTGTTTCTGTCTCAGTAGGGCCCTGACCTTTTCCTCGTCACTACCCAACCGAGGTTAGGCTTGGCACTTACTGAGTACCGCTGTGGTGTACTCACTCCTCTTATGCGCATGTTTTTCATGTGCAGATCCAGGTGCTTCTGAGCAGGCGTACCGCCAGTAGCTGTCAGGGAGTGTATTGGGGACTTGAGGTATACATCTGCTACGTCCGCAGATCCGCAAAGTCTCCTTCTCATTTTATCCATTGTTGTTAGATGTTATTTCGATCCCTCTTTGTATTAGACTATTCTGGTGACTAGAGCAGTGTAAGATTTCTTATAGCCTGTGTTGCCCGTGGGTTTCCGGGTCTTGGAGGTTATTTCAGTATTTTGTATTAAAGTGTATGTGCCAGGCGGCAACTGTATACATTACTCATGTTATTTAGCTTCGAATATAAATTTCGCAAATGTTGTTACTTTCGCAATGTGTTAGGCTTACCTAGTCGTGAAGACTAGGTGCCGTCATGACGTGTTCACAATTGGTGAACTAGGGTCGTGACAAGTTGGTATCAGAGCTCTAGGTTCATAGGAGTCACGGAACACAGGCCGGTTTATTAGAGTCTCGCTGATCGGTACGGAGACGTCTGTACTTATCTACGAGAGGCTATGTAACTGTTTAGGAAAAATCTTCACTTCATTTGGATTCCTTGTCGTGCGATATTTTTGACATCAATTCTAAACTTTTGTCTTCTATTCTCTCACAAATGGTGAGGACACGCGCTACTCGAGATGATCAGACNAGGACACGCACTACTCGAGATGATCAGGCACCCACGCCCCCTGCTGCCGCCGCCAGAGGCCGGGGTCGGGGTAGAGGTCGAGGACGCGCACGTGGTGCAGCCAGAGCACCTGCGCGAGCTGCCGCCGAGGTACCACCAGCAGATCCAGCCGGAGCCCAAGCACCCGGCACACCTACTACTGCCACTACTACTCCAGCGCTCCAGGAAACTTTGGCTCAGTTCATGAGCATGTACACCACCTTGGCTCAGGCGGGGTTGCTTCCCCTTGCTGCAGCCACGTCCCAGGCCGGGGGAGGAGCACAGACCCCCGCCGTCCGCACTCCTGAGCAGCGAGTGCAGGTTGAGCAGGTTTCCGAGATTATTCCCCCACCGCCTGCAGCACCAGTTCAGCCCGAGGATGGGTCAGCTGCTTCAGAGGACGAGCAGCGGAGACTCGAGAGGTTTAAGAAATATGATCCCCCAGTGTTCAGTGGCTTAGCATCGGATGATGCCTTGGGATTTTTGGAGGAGTGTCATCGTATTCTTCGTACTATGGGCATAGTGGAGTCCAGCGGGGTTTCTTTCACTGCTTTTCAGCTTCGGGGAGCTGCCTATGATTGGTGGCGCACTTATGAGTTAGACAGTCCAGTCGAGGCTGCTTCACTGACTTGGACCCAGTTCTCGGACATGTTTATGAGAGAGTTTGTTCCCCAGAGCCTCAGAGATTCATAGCGCGCAGAGTTTGAGCACTTGCGCCAGGGTGCTATGACAGTTTCAGAGTATGCCATCCGTTATACCAGGTTGGCCAGGCACGCACCGGCTTTGGTTGCTACTGTTCGAGAGAGAGTTCGCAGGTTCATTGAGGGCCTTATTCCGCCCATCAGGTCTATCATGGCTCGAGAGTTGGAGATGGACATTCCTTATCAGCAGGTAGTGAGCATTGCTAGGAGGATTGAGGGTATGCTCGCCAGGGAGCGAGGAGAGAGGGAGGCCAAGAGGTCTCGAGAGTCGGGTCACTACTCTGGTGCCCGTACCCCATCAGCAGGTCGTTATGGCAGAGGTTATTCAGGTCGCCCTGTTCATTCAGCTCTTCCAGCAGCCGGCAGTACTCCAGCTCCGCCTACACCACAGGAGCCTTACTATGCACCTCTAGTTTCTAGCGCGCCTCCTGCGCGAGGTGCTTCCAGAGGTCAGTCCAGCGGGCCTAGTCTCAGCCAGTCACAGCCACCACGTCCTCCCAGAGCTTGTTTTGAGTGTGGTGATACACGCCACATGGTTAGGGACTGCCCCAGACTTGGAAGGGGTGCATCTTCACAGGCTGCTCAGCCGCAGCGTACTCCTCAAAGTTCTCAGGCCATGATCACAGCTCCAACGGCTACCCCACCTGCTCAGCCGGCTAGGGGCGGAGGTCGGGGAGATAGAGGTCGCCCTCGAGAGAGGGGCCGGGCCAGATATTATGCTATTCCTGCTCGTACTGAGGTTCTTGCCTCCGACTCCGTCATTACAGGTATTATTCTTGTTTGTCACAGAGAGGCATCGGTTCTATTCGATCCGGGCTCTACTTACTCTTATGTGTCTTCTTACTTTGCTCCGCATTTGGGGTGTGCCGCGTATTTGGCCTATGTGAGAGATGTTAGTGTTGATACCCCTTCTGTTGATTCTGGTCTAGTGGTACGTGATTATCCCGATGTATTTCCAGCTGATCTTCCGGGCATGCCGCCTGATAGAGACATTGATTTTGGCATTGATCTGTTGCCGGACACTCAACCCATTTCCATTCCTTTGTATCGTATGGCTCCTCCTGAGTTGAAGGAGTTGAAGGATCAGTTACAGGAATTGCTTGGTAAGGGTTTCATTCGACTCAGTGTTTCACCGTGGGGTGCTCCTATTTTGTTCGTGAAGAAGAAGGATGGCTCCATGCGCATGTGTATTGATTACCGCCAGCTGAACAAGGTTACGGTGAAGAACCGTTATCCTTTGCCTCGCATTGATGATCTGTTTGACCAGCTTCAGGGCGCACAGGTGTTCTCTAAGATTGACTTGCGCTCAGGTTACCATCAGTTGAAGATTCGGGAGCCAGATGTCCCGAAGACTGCTTTCAGGACTCGGTATGGTCATTACGAGTTCCTTGTTATGTCTTTTGGGCTGACTAATGCCCCGACAGCTTTTATGCATTTGATGCACAGTGTATTCAGGCCATATCTTGACTCGTTCGTGATTGTTTTTATTGATGATATTCTGGTGTATTCCCGGAGTCGGGAAGATCATGAGCAGCATCTGAGGACCGTGCTACAGACCTTCAGGGAGAAAAAGTTATATGCAAAGTTCTCAAAATGTGAGTTTTGGCTGAGTTTTGTGGCATTCTTAGGCCATGTGATTTCTAGCGAGGGTATTCGGGTGGATCCGAGAAAGGTAGAGGCCATGCAGAGTTGGCCCAGACCGTCCTCAGATACAGAGATTCGCAGTTCCTTGGCTTGGCAGGTTACTACCGTCGTTTTGTGGAGGGATTTTCATCGATTGCTGCCCCTATGACTAGATTGACCCAGAAGGGTGCCCCATTTCAGTGGACAGAGGAGTGCGAGGCGAGCTTTCAAAAGCTCAAGACAGCTTTGACTACAGCCCCTATCTTGATGTTGCCTACCGGTTTGGGGTCTTATACTGTCTATTGTGACGCCTCGAGAGTTGGCCTTGGAGCAGTGTTGATGCAGGACGGTAGGGTGATTGCCTACGCGTCCAGACAGTTGAAGGTACATGAAAAGAATTACCCTGTCCACGACCTTGAGTTAGCTGCCATTGTTCATGCCTTGAAGATCTGGCGTCATTACCTGTATGGTGTGCCTTGTGAGATCTATACTGATCATCAAAGTTTGCAGCACTTACTTAAGCAAAAGGATCTCAATATGCGTCAGAGGAGGTGGTTAGAGCTACTGAAGGATTATGACATCACTATCCTATATCACCCGGGCAAGGCCAATGTGGTGGCGGACGCCTTGAGTCGCCGGGCGGAGAGTTTGGGGAGTTTGGCATATTTACTAGCTTCAGAGAGGCCTATGGCGATGGATGTTCAGGCCTTAGCCAGCCAGTTCGTGAGATTGGATCTTTCGTAGCCCAGTCGGGTTCTAGCCTGTGTGGTTTCCCGGTTTTCCCTATTTGACCGTATCAGGGAGCGGTAGTATGATGACCCTCATTTGCTTGTCCTTCGGGACAAGGTTCAGCGTGGTGATGCCAGGGATGTGACCATTGGAGATGATGGAGTATTGAGGATGTAGGGCCGGATTTGTGTGCCCAATGTTGATGGCCTTTGAGGGATGATTCTAGTAGAGGCCCATAGTTCGCGGTATTCCATCCATCCGGGTGCCGCGAAGATGTATCAGGACCTGAGGCAGCACTACTGGTGGAGGTGGATGAAGATGGATATAGTTGGTTATGTGTCTAGATGCCTTAACTGCCAGCAGGTGAAGTATGAGCACCATCGCCCGGGTGGGTTGCTCCAGCAGATAGAGATTCCGGAGTGGAAATAGGAGCGCATCACCATGGATTTTGTATCCGGACTTCCACGGACCTTGAAGAAGTTTGATTCCAT